GACCAGGCATACTTTTCAGGGAGGCACCAGACAAGTGGAGACAACGGAAAGCACTGGCAAGTCAAAGCTGTGCTCAAAGCTTGGATGCAAGATCTAACGTCAACTTTTCTCACGCAGGTTAGCTACGGCGATGATAAATGATGGCCAAAAGCTTCCCTGCACCAGATCACCAAATCCAAGAGGTCAGGAGCTGCAGAGATGTAGGTTCATCTCAGCCCAGGAATCCTTCCGTTCAGCTCACAGGCAGAAGGCAGTGGGGCTCTCACGTCGCTCTGCTCCCAGGCGGGGTCCCCAATACAGTGCAGAGACTGACTGGCATCATTTGCATTTCTCCTTTGCCTACTGGCAAGCACGCCCACTGCAGGGCACGTCTCATCCCACCCTCAGTCCTTGTAAGAAACACCAGGGCAAATCCGCCTGCACTAAGCACAGCCCTTCCTTCCACTGAGCAACAAAGAAACCCTTCTGCCCTTGCTCCTGACCCTTGTCCTGCCCCCGCCTGCCCTCAGAGTACAGCCGTCTTCTCTTGCGGAAGGAAAGGAAAAGGAAAAGGGAGAGGAGAAGGGAGAGGAAAAAGGGAAAGGGATTTATGAATATGTCAACCCTGTGTCATGGCAATCATAAGCCTTGTGCATGTTCTACTCCATCCTTCTCACTGCCATACACGGGGCACAGGGGAGCTGACGTTTCCGCTGTTGGGGATCCTGCTGTTGGTCCCCTGTTGGGGGAAGGAACGGGGCTGGTGGTTGCAGTCCTATGACACGGCGGTTTGTGCCACCCCGTCCTTACCCGGAGGTGGACACGGGGATGGGGGGGGGGTCTTTGGAGCTGCAGAATTGACTGCACACAAAAGTACTGAAAAACGAACGCTAAACACTGAATCATTTAACATAGAAGCAATAAAAAGAGAACTGACCGTATTCCCAACCAGCTCCACCCGAACAATCATCCCCCCTCACGGCTTCCCTCCTCGGGGCCAACACGAAGCTCACGCGGCTCCGGGAGCTCCGCACGGGGACAGAGAGATGGAAACCGGCCCTTGAGGACTGCGGCTGCGGGGCAGCAGCTCAGCACAGCGCTGCCGATGATTGGAGCCGGGCGAGAGCCGAAGGCTCTTGCTGACTCTGTGCCGGGCTCGAACGCGTCTCGATCCGTGCGATCGCTCCCTCTCTTCCGGCGCTGCCCGGCTCAGTCAGGAGCCGCTCCCGGACACCGGCCGCGTCCCGCCGCTCGCGGTCAGCCGCCGCTTCTCGCAGCCCGGCGGCGCCCCGCCGCAACAAGGACGGCTCGGTTCCGGCGGGGGACGGACAAGGCCGGCGGCGGTGCTCCCGCACCGCCTTCCCTTGACCGCCCGGCGTCCCCGAGGCACGGGGCGGGCGGCGGCGGGACGCAGGGCGGCGGAGCGCCGCGGCTCTGCCCTCGCGCCAGCGCCATCACGGCGGTCCCGCATCCGCGTCCGCCATTTGCGCAGAGCCCGCGCTCGGCCCCGCCTCCTTCGCTCTCCCGTTGGTCGGTCCGCCGAATGGGGCGGGCGCTCCGCGCGGGATCCTTTCCGTCCGCGGTCGCACCGTCATTGCGTCATCACCGCGCGCGTCCCGCATGGCCCCGGACGCTGTGCACCCGCTCCGCTTCCGGGGCCCCGGACCCTGGCTGGAGCTGCGGGAAGAGGAGGGTGGGGACGCGGGGGACCGCAGAGAGGCTGAGCCCGCGCCCTCGCCCGCCCCGCCCCGCTCCGCCCCGCCCCCCTTCCCTCCCCTCCCGTCCCCTCCCCTCCCGTCCCCTCCCCTCCCGTCTCCTCCCCTCCCCTCCCCTCCCCTCCTTGCGGGCCTCTTCCTGGGAAGAGGAAGGTGTGGGAGTCATAGGGAGGGACGCGCGATGGCAGCGTCAGTGGCAGGATCGGCTGCTTCCTCCTCCGCTCCTGACGCCGTGCGCTGGTTTCCTTTGAGAAGCACCCAGAAGCTAGAGCCCATTGTCACACCTGTGGGGTTCCACAGGACACACAGACGTGGGGTAAGTTGAGGTTGGAAACTTCTGTACAGTAAGGGTTGTTAGGCACTGCAATGCCCAGGGAGGGGGTTGAGTCACCATCCCTGAATGTGTTTAAAAACCTTTTGGATATGGTGCTCAGGGCCGTGATTTAGAGGAAGGTTGTTAATTGGAGTAGTATGGTCAGGTCGTGGTTGGACTTGGTGATCTTTAAGGTCACTTTTCCAACCTGTGTGATTCTCCAGCAGGGCCACCTGAAGTTGTGCCCGGGACCGTGTCCAGATGGGTTTGGAGATCTCCAAGAGGAGAGGCTGCAGCCTCTCTGGGTCCCTGTGCCAGTGCTGCAGTGCTTACAGTGCAGGAGTGCTCCTGATGTTTGGTGGCAGCCTCTGGTCCTGGCACTGGGCTCCACTGGATGCAGCCTGGCTCTATCCTCTCTGCCCCTCCCTGCAGGGATTGATGGCTGTGTGTGGGATTCCTCTGAGCTCCCTTTCTTCAGGCTGAGCAGCCTCCTCTGTCTCAGCCTCTTGTCACAGAAGAGGTGTTTCAGTCCCTTCACCATCTTGGTAGCCCTCCATTGGACTCCTTGCAGTATGTCTAGCCTGGGAGCCCAGACCTGGACACTGTTCTCTAGGTGCAGCCTCACAGAGCAAAAGTAATGGTGCAGAATAAATCTGCTACAAGAGAAGTCAGGAGTGGGGCTGTGATGGGAGCACGCTGCTTTATGACTGACATGGAGAACTGCTAGGAAGAAAGCCTGGTGGGCCTGAACACAGATACCAGGTGGTCCAGCTGTTTCACTGGAAACTAGATACTTAATGGGCAGCAATGTGGAGAAATGTTCTCCTTGTAGTTGTGCCCTGTGGCTTCTTTCTAATGTGCTTGGGAAGTCCCACTAGAGTAGACTGCTGCATGAGACGGAAGCCTGATACCACATCACATGTGTGGGTGGAGGTTTACTATCTCTGTTTTCACATCTTTTATGTTTGGTGGTTTTTTCTTTTCAATTCAACTCTATGTGTGCATTGGTGCAAGTCTGCCTTTGCTAAATCCTTTTCTTGTGGCCTTAGACAACAATCAAGGGGGTCTCAAGTTTCAGCACTAAGCAAGAAGTGCAGGCACTCAGGAAGGCCATGAAGGGCTTTGGTAAGCTGATCTTCCTCCACAGGTCAACTTTTTTTTTTTCCCCAGCACTGGCAATGGCTGCACCACAAATGGTGGTTTGTTAGAGGGAAGCATAGCTGCTTGCATTGCTCTGCTGCACAGCTGCCCTAAAAATAGTTGGGAAGTGGAAACAGAACTGCCCTTCATGTCCCGAAACGCAGCTGCTCTGGTGGTGTGGGTCCTGGCAGCTTTGTGTACATAGATGGATGTGTCCTGGGGCTGTTAAGAGCCGGCTGTGTAGGGGACTGGAGGTGGCACAGGAGCAGAGGGCACTTTGTTGTGCAAGCAGCCCACCTGGCTTCCATTTGTTTCTTGCACGGATGAAGATGCCATCATCGACATCTTGATCAAACTAAATGCTTCCCAACATCAGTGAGTTCTGATCACCTACAAGAGTGCTACAAGAGCGCTACAAGAGCACTCCTGGCAGGGCAGGTGGTCTGCAGAGATGCGTGAATGTGGTTGTGTCACTTGGGTGAAAAGTGAAAAACAACCCAGTCTCCATAAGAGAAAGCAGAGACTTTACCTGACCAAAGTTGTTTTGTTCCCGTTCAGTTGAGAGCAGTTGTTGATGCAAGGAGGGTTGGAGCCTGAAGAGAAGTGGTGAGCAGCTCAGTTCCTTCTGTCCTCAAAAGCTGTGCCTTCTGCCAACTCCTTTCTCCTCTCCTGGCCTTCTAGGATTTGATGGGTGACTCGAAGTCAGATCTGAGGGGAATTTTACAAGGGTGCTCATTGGGATTATGACTCCCACCACCATGTATGATGTGCATGAACTGAGGAGGGCTGTGAAGGTTTGGAAATCTTCCTTTTGTATGGCTTACGTTCTGGCCAAGGGCTTGCTGCTTTGTTATGTATGTCTTACTATGAATTCTTAAAGAAACCTGTCTGCGTGTCATGAGCAGTTGCTGCTATCTTAAATCTTGAATTGGTGATTCCCTAGGGAGAGGAATAGGTGCTGCCTGGTTGAAATTGTGGCTTCTTGCACCAATGAAGAAGTTGGTTGCATTAAGGAGAACTACGAGCTTCGTAAGTAGTGTGACAGGCCAGGCCTTGTCCTGCTGCCTGACAGTCTGTGTGTGTGTGTGTGTGTGTGTGTGCGCGCAGGCAGATGTGAAGAGGAAGGAGTCTGGGGAGCTTTCAGGTGTGACGGACTGGCCAACCTGGGTGTTGCTGTTTGTGCAGAGAGAAGCTAGACTGGAATTTCACCAGCAGCTGAACTGGTGTAAATAAAACAGGGAGGAGCATTCTGTCTGTCAGCAGGACGTGTGGCTCTCTTGCCAGTTTCTTGCTGTCTGTGCTTCTTAATTGGAGACTGCAGCACTGATGATGATGGCTGGAGCGCTGCAGTGATGCTGAGAGCCCTGGGCCCAGCTCTGTACGTAGCAGGTTATGGCTGGAAAATGTTGTGGGCAGCACCCAGGTGGTGGCCCAGCTCCTAATGGATGCTGTGTGTGTGTTCTTGCTAGAATGTGGCTCTCCCTTGAGGATGGCATCGTATCTGACACATCTTCCATGTTTTGAAGGGTCCTCGTGTCCCTCACAATGGTGAGCCAAGCTGAGGGGAAAGGAGGTGAATCTTCAGAGCTGTGGGCACAGTTCTGCACACAGTGGTGAGGAGCTCCAGGCTGGCTTTTTCTCACCCCGTGTGTCACATGGCTGCTCCTCAAGCCCAGCTTCTGCAGGGAGGGGACTCTGACTCTGGGTGTGCATGAGTGCTGTGGGCTCTTCTTTAAACATCCCAGTAAAGTGGGTTGCTGCTCATATTTAGAAGGAAGCCCAAAGCACACCTGAGCTGTGTTTCACTGTGTTTGTGAGCTACTGTTCCCTTTGAAGGACTCCATTATCCATCTCCAGCAGCTGATCCTGAATGAGGAATTCCCAGGAGTTGCTTCCAGTAGATGCTCTGGTGAACAGAGTCTTCTATCCTTGTGTCTTTGCAGGGAAACAGAGATGAAGGAATGTTTGTGGATGTGCTCAGCAGATGTTCAGGTGTGTAGTAATGTGCTTCCCAATCTATTCTTGTGCATGTGATGTGTGGTAAAGAGAAGCCAACCTGTGAAATGGGAATAATGGCTCTAGTCTTGTTTGCAGGACTCTAATGAGAGTCTCCAGACAGGCTGGCTGCTTGGCAGGGGCAGTGACATTTTGGTTGTGGGTTGCCGTGCCTGGTTGGTGCTTGTTGGAAAATACCTGTGGTCAAGTACAAGTACGGGCCAGCAGTGCTCTAGCTCTGAGGAATTAAAGATCTCCTGTATGCCCAGTCTTCTCCATGAGCCTCACTTTGTCATCCTCAGTGTGTGTCAGTGCCTGTAGGAGCAGGGGAGAAGAAATGGGGAACAGATGAGGTGCAGTTTATGTCCGTCCTCTGTACACAGAGCAGAGATCACCTGCTGAGAGGCAGCACCCCTGCACAGTGTCCTGGGTTTTTTTTCCCTTCCTTGTCTGTGTGTGTTGCTTTTGTAGGAGCTCCGTAGGTTGTTCAGTAAATGTGAACTCTTCTGAGGCAGCAGGTGTCCTGGAGAGAGCCTCATTCCATTCATTCCATTCGGGCTGTTTTGTTCCCTCCTGAGGCTGAAAGGGGCTTTAGAAACATAAGTACAAGTGGCTGCTGCTCCAGCATGGAAAGCAGAGAACATGAGGTGTGATTGCCATTGGGGTAGGGGGGAGAGGAGCTAAGAAACTTGATTGGCAGCACAAAGTAGCAGGTCTTGAAAATGGTAGTAGCTGTGGTAGGCCAATTAGCAAGTCTGTTAGCAATGAAAATGAATTCTTTCTGTGGGACAATCCTGGTTTAGCTGACAGTGCTGCAGGAATGATAGAATGCTCATGCAGTATAGTATTGTTGCAAAGTGATCCTTTGAATCTCTCTTTCTGCTATGGATTCTTCCCCCTAGTTTTTGATGGTAATGAGGCATTGCTGACAAGGACGTAACAGACAGCATTAAATCTGAGATGTCAGGAGACCTGGAAGGTGCTTTGCTGGCTGTGCGCGAGTGCTCTGCTTTTAAATGTTCTCTACAAAGGAATGAAATGATGAGAGGTGCTGTGTCTGCCCTCGAGCGGCTGTTACGTGCTTTCAGGAGGCAGTCATGGTTTGTCTTTGTGGGCACAAATCCAGGCTGGGTGGGACTTGGAGCACCCTGGTGCAGAGGGGGGTGTCCCTGAGACTGCAGGGGGGGTTGGAACTCGATGATCTTAGGGGTCCCCTCCAACCCAAACCATTCTATGATTCTGTGCTTTACAGACCCAGCCAGGTGAGAAAGCTTTGTGCTTTATGGCACAGTGTGCTTGGCCAAAGGGAGCTTTGGCAGCAGAGGTTTGCTGTCAGAAGACATGAAGGCCTTCGTGCAAATCTTGCTGTGTGCAGGCACAGAGACATCAGCTCACAGCACATCACTGACTGCATGCCTGCACTGCAGCTGCTGTTTGTTAACCTGAAGTTGCATCTTGACAGAAGAAACGCCTGCACCAAGGAAGTGCTGCAGCTTTATAAAAAACCTCCTGCTTCTACTGACCTTAATTCTCTTGTTCTTGTCTCTCCTTACAGTCAAGTGCATGTGAAACGAGCCTGCGTGCTTTGCTGAAAGACTGTTTAAATCCATGGAGGTAAACAGATTTTGGAGTAAGATTGCTTGCTTCTTTCTTGCATTTTCGTGCTCGAGTCAGCCAGCAGCATTATGGCAATCGTGAGATGGAAGCTGCAGCCAGTCAGGAAACTGGCTTTTCCAGGAAAGCTCAGGCTTTTCTGCACATCAGGGTAGTAGCCATACTCAGGAGCAAGCTGCTGCTAATGGATTGCTCCATTAATGCAAAAATGCTGTAATTAAGAGCAGCTCCTGCACAGGACTGGGCACTGAGACCTTTGTGTCTGCGGGTGATTCTCCAGCAGTTCTGTGTCGGCTGCATGTGGCTGCTTTGCTTTCCAGGGCCTGGGAACAGGCGACAGCACTCTGATCAGAGCGATGGTGTCCTGCTCTGAAATGAATCTGCTGGATATCAGAAGAGGATTCCTGACCATGTATGGGAAGTCTCTCTACTCCTTCATGAAGGTAAACTTGTCGATGTTAACACAAGAAGTGGGATTTTCTGAGTGCCTTTAAGGACTTGACATCTGTTGGGTATTTTAGAGCCTTTGAGATGAAGCAGACTTTACAAAAACATACTGAAAATGTTCCTGAATATTCCTAAATGGTCTAGGATATGAATGCTGCAAGAAGAAATCTGTCTTAAGAAGAATTTTACTTTAATAGAACTTAGAAATTATTCATATTCCTTTTTTTTTCTTAGTAACTCAGTTTGCTCTGGCCTTCTCTCTTCCTCTTCTCTAGTTTCTTTTTTTCTGCACTCTTCTCCCTCTTTTCTCTGCACCATTCCTTCCTTTCTTCCTCCATCTGCCCTTCCCTCTTTTGCTGTTCCCTCTGTTCTCCCTACCCTCTTTTTTTTTTCTCTTGTCCTTTTTAGATCTGCTCTTCTTACCTGTATCTTCTATTCTGCTCTCTTTCTTTTCCCCTCTCATTCATCACCTTTCTGTTCTTCTCCCTTACAAGCTCCTCCCTTTTTTCTTTGTTCTGCTGTCTTTTCTCTCCTCTCCTTCTTTCCTCTCCTCTTTGTGGCAAGAGAACTCCGAGCTCCCTTACTGGTGTGGCAAGAGAGGCGCAGGCTTTCTTGCTGGTGCAGAAGGAAGGACGAAAGACCTTTATTGTAGTGCTTACAACCTTTTATACCCGCACATCAACAACTGGTTACCTGCAGGAACAAGGCGCCTCATGTGTGTTTATGTCTGGCTCAAATTACTGCTGAGCTTTTTTACTCATAGCAAGATAACAACTTTCTTTATCCCACATCTTCCCCTTCTTTATTAATAGATAAAGAAGCACAGTTCAAAAACAATCCTAAAAGCAGCTAAACTAAAAGCAATACACCGAACAAACGATGTGTTCTTTGGAGTACAAACAATGGTCCATATTAACCAACCCCAACGACTCCAATTCTTATGATTCCTCAGTGACACAGTTGACAAAGTGTGTCTTGTGGGTGAGAGTCCAAACCACTGGTGAAGGCGCTGTGATCATGTTACAGCAGATGGTGAGACGGGTGGCCAGACCCCCAGACTCACATGAGCACCCCCTGGACACCGCAAGACACCTCTGGGAACATCCCCAAACCCTTCTGGATGAGTCTAGGACCACAGAGATCCACATGAGGACTCCCTGGACCCTACCAGACTCTACTGGGACATCTCCAGATCAGCCCGGGGACTCCTCAGAGCTCCTGGGCCTACAGTGGGATCTTCCAGATCCTTCCAGGGTGCCATGGGACCAGCCTGGGGACTCCCTTGAACCGGGCTGGGGGTTGCCTTGGCAGCAGGATGGGCTTCGGTGTGGAAGAATCTTCCCAGTGCTCACCTCAGAGCTCAGGCTGAAGGCAGCAGTGCGTGGGAAGAAGGGGCCTCTAGCGCATCCATGGCACTGGGGAATCTGGAGAGGATGGGAAAGCAAACGGAGAAGCAGCAGATGCTCTGCAGCACGGGGAGGGCTTAAGAGCCTGACTTTGGGCAGCAGTGTTCTGCAAACTGTTGGGAAGTAGCAGGAAATTCTGCCAGTGGTTCCCTGGGAAGCTCCTTTGGAAGCTCTGGCCATGTTCCTTGTGCTTCCTCCCATTGAATGCCTTTCTCTTCCAGATGGCATCAGCAGGACCTGTTGTGCATGAGCTTCCGTCTCTGGGGTAAGAACACTTCCTTGCCCTGCACCCCTGGCTCTGTAGTGTGGCCTCAGCTGCCTGCATGCTCTTTGCACGCCTTGTTCCTCCCATCTGTATGGTGGAAGGCAGCCCTTGGCAAAGTAAAGGAACAAAAGGGGTTGGGGGATAAGGAAGGGCACAACGCCCCAGGATCCTTCACCTCATGGCACTGGAGCTCTGAGCTGCAGGGTGGGCAGTGCTGAAGACTCGCTTTGCCTTTGCCTTCAGGAGCTCACCGGTTTGGATGGAGGGGAGAGGCAGGAGCTGAATGTGAAAACTACTCAGTTGTCAGCCAGGAAGGACCTCATTCTTGAATCAGTGTTTGATGCCCTCCAAGAGAATGAGATCCATGGATTGAAGAGAGAGGTAACGGTGCTGCTCTCCTGTTTCCCCTCAGCCCTTTCCAGCTGAGAGGAAAGCTCTGTGCCCCGGCTGCCCACCCCACACCTGGCTCTCAGGCTCAGCCTCTCTTGGATCTTGGAGCTGCTCTGCTCGCCTCACTGAGAGCTGCTGCTGGTGCTGGCTGCATAGCGCAGCTGGGATCAGGGTGCTCTGTGCAGCGCTGTGAATTCCCCCTGGGCTGGGCCCGACAGGAACCTGCTGGGCTTGGCTTGGAGGCCGGACATCGTCCCTTCCAAGAGACTTGTGGATCAGGATTCTTAGCTGGAAGGGCCGTTCTCCAGGCCAGCTGCAACTGGAGCGCTGCAGGGCCTGGCTGGCTCAGGGCGTGATCTGACTGCCTGTCCAGGCTGTTCTGGAGATGGCACGAGGCTGGCAGCAAGAGGGTCAGGCAGAGCCCAAGGTCCATCTTTGCTGTGTCTCTGGAGTCCTGTGGCTCATCGCGGCACACTTTCTGGAAGATCTTGGTGGATTTCTGGAAGGACATGGAGCCCTCCCTTAGCTCTTGGATAGGACTCCCTCGTCACACTGATCTCCTCCAGTGTTTGTGCTCACTGCTGTCTCTCCATTCCCTATTTGTTGCCAGGAAATTCTGCAGTTGACACAGTGCACCATTGAGAAAATCATGGAAAACAGTGTCTGGATGCCTAACTGGGCTCTGGAAACCATGGATATGTAGACAGACAGCTTTACTACACACAGCTTTGCGTCTGGCACTCCCCATAGCCTGCCAAGATCTGCTTTCTGTCAAAGTTATCTCATAGAGCTTTAGAATGGCTGAGCTCTGAAGGGACCGTACAGACCATCCCAGTCCAGCTCCCTGCCGTTAACAGGGCTGCCACCCTTTCCATCAGGTGCCCAGGGCCCCATCCAACCAGGAATGGGGCATCCATGGCTTCTCTGGGTGGCACATTGCAGGGCCTCACCGCCTACTGGGGATCAAGAATTTCTTCCTGACATCCCATCTAAATCTTCCCTCTCTGAGAATTTAAAAAGCCTCCGCCTGCCCTCCTAGGGCTGACCAGCTCCTTTCCCCAGGTGTCAGCAGTGAAGTCAGAGTCAGAAGTCAGCAGTGCCTCCAAAGAGTTTGCTGTCTTGGTAAGACTCTGTCTGCTGCTGCTTCTGGAGGACCTGAGGAAAAGCTTTGCCATAGAGCCCCATAAGACCCCATAGTGGTGGGAGCTCCTAGAGAGCTGCAGTGGGCTGCTGCAGAGCGCAGCATCCTGCCCAAGGGCACGGAGACCCTCAGGGTGCTTACACATCTCCAGAGGCCTCTGCTGCTCTTTGTGGCCAAGCAGCTGGGAGCAATTGCTCCATGTGCCCCGCCTCAGGTTCACCCTCCTTTGTGCTCCAATCCTGCCAGAGCCGAGGGAGGGGGCGAAGGGCTCCCAACTTTGGCCTTGGTGTGTTCTTTTTCGCATGGCCAGCCTAAGTGTGACCGCTGTCATCTTTGGTCTCTGAGGGAGTGGATGAGGACGAAGGTGAAACTCTCCTGGGGTTATTCATTTAGGACGTGGGGTATGGCCAGTGCGTGCGGCAGGCTGCCAGAGAGGAAGGCCGGGCTGCCTGCAAGTCCTGGGAGGAAAGAGTTTGCCTGTTCAGCCGGGCCTTCCTCTGCTCTCCAAAGCGGCCGACTCCTGCGGGAAAGACAGACGAGGTGACCGTCCCACCTTTGGAAGAATTATTCTTCCTGCTAGAGCAGAGAGCAGTAGCGGGAAGATGCTGTGGGAGGGAAACCATCCTCCTGTGGATGTGGAGGGACGACTGCTGGCGGGAGGGAGTGCAGCTGCCTTCCCCTATCAGCAGCGCCGTTCTGGCGTCCCACGGCAGCCCAGGGAGCAGAGCAGAGTAAGTCAGGGTTCTGCAGCGGGCAAAGGGAGCCGTGCGGATGTGCCGCGGCGCTTCCCACGCGCGTAACGAGGCCTCTCCTCTTTGTGTCAGCAGGAGGAGCCCCGCGAAGCCCTCGGCCGTGTCAGATTTGGAGGTGCGGAGCAACTGAGGAAACGCAGAACGCACCTGCGTGTGCCGAGTGGACATTCACGGCAATTTGTAAAAGACAGCGGTGATTTTTAGAAGGGAATAATTAAACTAAAAGGCTGATGACTTTCTGCCTGCGTTGAGGGATATTACTGGAGCGGCGCGTTGGGGCTGGGGAGGAGGGGCGGGGGGCAGGCGGAGCTGCAGGCCTGAGGTGAGTGAGCGCCGCGTCGCGTGGCGTCGCGCTGTGACGTCATCACCATGCGCCGCGAGGAGGTGACGGCCGTGGGGAAGTGGTGCAGGGTCTCTCGCTGCTCCGACACCAGGGGGCGGCCCCAGGGCTCCGAGCGCCGCCTTGGCTTCTACAAGTGGGTGTTTGAGGGGGAGTACCGGAACGGGGGCAGCGCTGTGTTGGCCCCGTGGAGCCTCTGTGGTGCTCAGGACCTCTGCTCGGTGGGGGGAGGTGCGCGGTGCCCCCCCCCCCCCCCATCCAGGGTACACCGCTACTCAGTGTTCTCTTACTTCCATTTCCTTACGTGAAGCATTTTAAAATGCATGTTGTCATGGGCCGGCGTGAGCTGTAGGGCCTAAAGCCACTGCCCTGCTCACACTGAGCTGGGTTTGCTGCTGGCTGGTTGCCGGGAGGTGTCTCAGCAGAAAAGCTGTGCTGGGAGGAGTTCCCAGCTCCAGCGGTGTCCCTCGGCACGGCTGTTACCAGAGAAAATGGATTCTTGTTGAGATTCCATCCCATAACTTGGTGAGGATGATGAATGTCATTACTCCCCTAGAACTCCACTGTCAGGCCCCCGCCTTCATGTCAGATATTGAAAAGCAAGGAGAGCACAAACTTCTAGAGCACAACTCGTGCCCCCTGCCCCATGGATGGCTGGGTGCAGAGCTGTTGAGGAGATGGAGAAGGGCACTTGCTGATAGAAGCCATGGCAGTCAAACACATAAACTGGATCTAGTGTTGGGCAGCTCTTCCAGCCAGCTGATGTCCAGACATTGCCCTCCTTAAGAGAGTACACTGCATGGCAGAAGAAAGCTGGGAAAATGCTTCTTCCTCATGATTTTTCACTTCTTGACACTATCTGCAGGGTTCCTGTCCAAAAGGAAAGGTATGGCTGGGTTTCTTTTGCTTGGTTGTTCTTCCTTTTTCTCATTTTTAAGGGAAGGGGCAAAGCAAGGGGAGCCCTGCTGAGGCCCCATCTGGAATACTGCGTCCAAGTTTGGAGCCCCCAGTACAGAAAAGACAAAGAGCTGTTGGAGAGTGTCCAAAGGAGGGCCACAAAGACGATCAGGGGACTGAAGCACCCTCCCTATGAAGATAGGCTGAGGGAGCTGGGCTTGTTCAGCCTGGAGAAAAGAAAGCTGCGGGGTGACCTCATTGCAGCCTTTCAGTACCTAAAGGGAGCCTACAGAGGGGAGGGGAATCAACTCTTTTAAAGGGGAGATAACAGCAGGACAAGGGGAAATGGTTTGAAGTTGAGGGAGGGAAGATTTAGGTTGGACGTCAGAGGGAAGTTCTTTACAGAGGGAGTGGTGAGGTGCTGGAACAGCTGCCCAGAGAGGCTGTGATGCCCCATCCATCCCTGGAGGTGTTCAAGGCCAGGTTGGATGGGGCCCTGGGCAGCCTGGGCTGGTACTGAATGTGGAGGTTGGTGGTCCTGCATGTGGCAGGGGGTTTGGAGCTTCGTGATCCTTGAGGTCCCTTCCAACCCGGGCCATTCTGTGATTCTGTGATATTGGTCCCTTGTGACCTCGATAACCTCTTGGATTCTGCACTCACTGCTGACAGCCCGGGCTAATGATGTGCACATGGCTTAGGCTGTATTTTCCCTTAGTGATAATTAATCTCTCAGCACTCTAATCATCTATCTCTGGCAAGATCTGGAACCTCTCTGCAAACCTTGGCTGCCCGTTCCCACCAATGTTTCTCCGTTTCTCTCCTCAGAAGCAGCATGGCGCAGTTCCCCGTGTTTGGGAGCAGCAGCCAGCAGGCTGCCAGAGATCCAACAGTGCCTTGCAGTGCCTTGCAATGTGTCACCGTTAATCCCACCTGAGCCTTGCCAATGTGCCACCTTTAAATGCATAAGAGTTGTGGAATGTGACAGCATTAAACCCAGCAAAGCTGTGAACTGTGCCAGCAGTAAACCCAGCAGATCTGTGCAAGTGAGTGACCATGAAATCCTACAGAGCTGTGCAATTTGTTGTAATAATACCCAGCAGATCTCTGCCAGGAAAGCCAGCAAAGCTATGCCACCATTAAATCCAGCAGAGCTGTGAGACCATAAAACCCAGCAGAGCTGTGCAATGTTGCATCATTAAACCCAGAGGAGCTGTTCAAATGTGTCACCATTAAACCCAGCAGAGCAGTGCAATGTGCCACAATATTAACCTGCAGAGCTCTGACAATGTGCCGCCATTAAAACCAGCAGAACTGTGCCAGTGTGTCACAATTAAACCCATCAGACCTGTGATACCATAAATCCCAGCAGGGCTGTGCCAGTGTGCCACCATTAAAGCCAGCAGACATGGACAATGTGACACCATTAAACACAGCAGAGATGTGCAAGCATTAAACACAGGAAATCTGTGCAATGTGTCAGCATTAAACGCAGAGCTGTGCCAATGTGCCACCATTCAACCCAGGAGAGCTGTGCCAGAATTTAACCCAGAAGAGTGGTGCCAGTGTTTCACCATGAAACCCTTCAGAACTGTCCCAATGTTCCACCATGAAACTGAGCAGAGCTGTGACACCATTAAATCCAGCCGAGCAGTGCCAATGTGTCACCATTAAAACCAGGAGAGATGTGCAATGTGCCACATTAAACCCCACAGAGCTGTGCCAATGTTACACAGTTAAACCCAGCAGAGCTGTGTCACCGTTAAACCAAGCAGAGCTGTGCAATGCACCACCATGAAACTCAGCAGAGCTGTGCCACCATGAAACCCAGCAGAGCTATGCAAATATGCCATTAAACTCAGCAGATCTGTGCCAATGTGTCACCATTAAACCCAGATGAGCTGTTCAATGTGTCAACATTAAAGCTATCAAAGGCGTGCCAATTTATCACCATAAAACCCTGCAGCGCTTTGCCAGTGTGCCACCATTAAGCCCAGCAGAACTGTGTCACCATAAAGCACATCAGAGCTGTGCCATCCTTAAAATCATCAGAGCTGTTCCACCATTAAACCCTAGACTGCTGTGCCACCATTGAACAAACCAGAGATGTGTAATGTGCCACAACTAAACCCAGCATAGCTGTTCCACCACTAAACCCAGAAGGCCTGGGTCACCATAAGCCCAGGAGAGATATGCAATGTGCCACCATTAAACCCAGCAGAGCTGTGCAATGTGACACCTTTAATCCCAGCAGAGTGTGCCAGTTGCAACCATTAAACTCAGCACCTAGCACAGCTGGGTTGATGATAATACTCACATCTGTGTAAAATCAGAATTTAACCCAAAAAGTCCAGCATTTGGGTCCTATTCTGGAAGAGAAGGTTTTTGTATTGAGAGACAGACAACTGCTGTGCATCTAATTTCCAAACCTTGCCTTCCATTCCTTTGTTCATGACGGTGCTTCATGCACACAGGCAAAAGAAGGAAAACAACATAACCTGTTTACTGAATGTAGTAGTTCTTTTAGGCTGAATGCAAGCATGGCACATTTTTATGAGATACTTGTAAAAATTTATTTCCAAATAGCAGCAGCGAGAAGTGGTTTCCAGCACTTCTACTGAAGCCCTGAGAACCGACATTTTACTGAACAGTAAGAGTAGGAGCCAGCTGGGGTCTGTTGAAATAAACTCTTCCTTCCTTGATGTATTTCAACAACTCCAGTTTTGTTACAAGTGTCTTCAAGATGGTATTGTTCCTCTTTTTGCTGTGGTTTTTTTTGTTTTTTTTTTTTTTGTTTTGTTTTGTTTTGTTTTGTTTTCCCCCCAGGACTTCAGTTTTCCATGCTAGTGGTCCAGAACCTAACAGTGTGCAGAAGATAGGTTGAAGTGGATCATCTCTGTTGAGCACGTACTCCCTTCAGAAGGAAAAAGAGACTCAAAGCTTTTGAGTTCCTCATATTTCTAGCAGAAGGAGGTTTCCCTGGATGTTATCTTTTGTTTTAACACGTGAAGGGCTGATGGAATCAATTATAGCTTTTTCTTCTCTTTTCAGACCTGAAATAAGAAAGCACAAAATCAGCAGCAGGTTTTGCCTAGTGTTTTGCAACATACATCACTCAATTAAGATTACAATTAGTTCAGCAGTGCAGGAGAGAAGGTGAGTTCTGGCTCATCATAAATATGCATGAAGAGTGCCCATATCAATGGGAATGCAGACAGGGCTAGGCTCTGGGGGTTATATTCTCATTACATTACTTGTCCATACAATGTGTATGGAACTGCTGAGTCACGGCCTGAACCTCTGATGGATTACCTGAGGTGAGCCGTGAGTCAGCCAGAGGAGTACAGGTGAAGGCAATTCACCTGTGCTGCCTGGCTCCACCCCTCCTAGACCTATTGAAGAGCTGGCTACCAGTGGGGAAGGAGCTCTTCTGGAGCCTCTCTACCTTCACCATTTTTGGATCCTGTCCGATAGCTTTTTGTCTTTCTCATATTGTGGCTCCCACAGTGCTTGAGGTGAGGCTGCACTAATGCTGAGAGGGGAACAATCCCTCACCTGGATAGCAGTGTTTGGAGAGAAGAAATGCACTTAATGCTTCACAGTGCCTAACTCAACTGAAATGCCTGCAGAGGCCATATCTACAGGCACAACTAAACTAGTCCCAAGTTGCTGCATCTCACGCCAGCATCCAAAGTGGCGCCTGGATGGCTCAGGAACATCAGCACAAGGAAGGACAATTCAGCTTTGTATTTCCCCTCTGGTGTCATTACAGCTTCAGAGAACCACAGAATTCAGTTCTCGGAGTGTATTTCTCTCTGTTCAGGCTAACTTCACACACTTCCTCTTGTAAGACATAGGGACACAGTATGCACTGGCAGCTCTGAGGGTAAAAGGCTTTGTTAGGATTGCCACCACATCTTCCTGTAGATATCAACCTTTTCTTCAAGCTCTTCTATAGTGTATAGTTCATCAGTGTAAATTTCTCAGGATGCATCTAACTTTTAAATGAGAATAACTTCATATCTTAAAAGTTTTAGGTTCTTCATTATCGGTTAGGACAATTTACAGCGAGACTGGCCACATTTTGAATTTCTGAGACAACATGGTATGAACTTGATTGAGACAGAAAAAGGAAAAAAAAAATTGAGAGGAGTGTTACCAGGTAGTTCCATATATAGTGAACATAAGTCAATTCTAATATATTTTCTAGCTGTCTTGTTCAATCCCTCATTTATTTCAGTCTTGAATCCCTAAATATCATCTGTCCTATGGGAGAGCTATTACAGGCACTCGTTTATAGTAATGACATCTGTTTCACAGAGCTATCAAGCCCCCAACAGCACCAGACACTTACAGCTTTGGAACTGGAAGTTGCCCCATTGCACTTTATCACAGACCACGTGAGATTCTGTGTATCCATTCTTTTTGGAAGCATCTCTCCAGTGTCAGAGCAGGAGCTCACTCTGCTCTTCCTTGCAGTTTAGATGCTAGACACCTTATCTTGCAGAACCCTTCCTCCAACCTTTTCTGGGCTCATACCAGTCTCACAACATCATGAAGAGGAAAGAACGCACTCTGCTTTTTGGAAGAAGCTGCATAAACATATGACAAAACTCCACATTGGGAGCATTCTGAAGAAAAAAAATAAAAAGACATTTAAAAAGAAAAGACACGGATAGGTTTGACCTTGATATTGGTTCTACCTGTTCCTATCAGAACAGTTCTGGGCATCGAGAAATGCTGCTGAATATCTGTACGTGACACTTTGAGCACCATTTCCAATTTTTTTTGCAGCAAGTTGGTCAAAATTTTTCTTCCCAAGTCACTGTGAAGAGACAAAGCAAAATCAGCTGGGACACCAGTGACACTGGGGGAGGCAACATGATAGAACTTACTTCTCCATTAAAACAAAGCAGCTGCTGCTTTGATAATATTCCAGTGTGCTCTCACGGGGCTGAAAGGGAGCAACGGCTGAAGCCAGTTGCAACAAGAGAAGTCCATGTTACACTGACCTCATAAGTCCAATACAAAATCTACACTGCTACCCCCACAGAAGAGCAGTTCACTATAACCCTAGGAACCATCTCTAGAGACATACATATGGTAGACACAGTTTTGGGAGAGGTGCCCTGGGTTTAACACCAGTAAGAGCACCACCAGAGCAGAAGATGACCTACTGTCAACCCCTCCTACATGAGCAAAATACAAGCCATGCTTATGACCTGAGAGGGAATTGTTACTGAGCCTAGCCCATAGAGAAATCCCTGCACTGCCCAGTTGGGTGTAATAGCTCAAAGAAGCCACTGCAGCCTCTTGGAGCAGTTTTCTTGTAAAAGACAGCTGTAAATATTAGAAGAAAAATAACAAAATTCTGTAATTTAAAAAAAATTGTGATCTAAGTGGCAGTATTGCTATCAAGCTGATTTAATTTCATTAGAGGTGATTTAGATATGATGCATTGTCTTAACAAAAATGATTTGGGGTCTGCAAGCACCAGTATAATGTATGTAAGTGGCAGTACGTGTCTGTATTTGCCAGTACAGGCAAAGTCTTGAATACGGGTGACCTCACTGTGCAGTGGTACAATTTGTGTGCAACTGCTTTCAAGACTAGTGACTCCAGACGTAATACTAAGCAAACTTGTCTCTGTCCCTTTTGGTTGACTCCTAAATGTGTATTTAATTGCCAAAACTGTTGTTAACTCTGTACTGCCAACAGAGATGCAAAAGGCATGCGTGATACATTAGAACCATCAGCCTGCCTGTACATCTTCTTCATCCTACGCTGAGAGCCATGCGGGCACTGCTCTTTTTTATTTCCTGACCACAGCCCGTTTCACTGGTTCCAGTGCCATCACCTACCTGCTTGAAAGCATTTGTTATCCCCTTCTCAGCCACCATTTTCCATTTTCTATGGCAATCAAAATCTACTGACTTCTGTGTAGGCACAGGAGATGTTGGGCAGGCTCACACCTTTTTTCTTCTTCCCCATGGAGATTCAGTCTCTATGTTAACATAACAAGGAAAGATTTTCATCTTATTGCTTGGTCCCTTTGAATGTTGGCCGATGGGATATTCAATGTGAGCCAGCAGGGTGCGCAAAGACACAGTGGGCTAAGACAAAATTGCATTGAAATCCTAAATTTTTCTGAGGGCAGGACTGAGGGAAGCAGTCGGATCCAACCCAGTGACTGAACTGAGAACATAATTTGCTGTCTCCTGTTGGATTTCATATTCTGTCTCAGGCACAGTCCCTGTGCTGGGTTGCTTGTGAATGTGCTCAGAGTAGCTGCAGCTCCATGAACATCAATGCATGTTGCATGTTTACCATATAAGCTTGAGGATAAATGGGATAGAATTACTGAATATTAGTAATGGCTTTATAGACATCAGAGGTACACAAGGTGTTAGTAAACATATTAATTATTGGTTTAAAAAGACAAAGGAATAAAATTAAAAATCAAAATGCTTAGTTGTTCATATGCACACAGTTTGTAGGTGGGGGGACATTTTGTAATAGAAATAATTCTCTGGCTCCATCCTTGGACTGGTTTTATCCATGTCCAGTTGATTTTTTCCTGAAGAAAGCAAACTGGCCTAAAATTCTAAGTAATCCACAGCACTTGTAGGGATGCAAATGACGTCGTTTCAGATCCTACTCCTACAGATATGACTCAGTGCACTGAAAGGAAGCAGTGTTGCAAGGAAGGCAAAGATAAGTGGAATCACTTTTTAATTAGAAGTATAGTGGAGTTTATTGGTCGGTCACCTGTGCTCAGCTGTCAGGGATGCCAAGCAGCTGAGCACGCGCCTTGTAAGCTGCCAGTGGCTGATCAGAGTAGGTTTTGAAATACTAATTACCCACTCTCACAGAAATGTTTCAGACAAAGGCATAGCTGCTTTATTGATGGTGATTTTTGCGCGTAAGGATGAACACTCTGGTTTGTTCTTTTCATTTTTCCAGGTAAATGTAATATCATGTTTCCATAAAACTCTTTTAGGAAACAGTGCCATTTGCTATTAAAGCTTGCATAATGAAAAGATCTGTCAGGGATCTAATTTGTTGCGAGTCATTTATTTGCCATGTAGTGGCAAGATCCAAGAGACTCTGCTGCTCACACTTAACACCAGGCTGCCCCTGCTTCCCGCTGTGTCCCCCTGTGCTGGGGCTCGTGGAGCCAGTAAACCGTGTGTTCCTTCCTTCTGCAAATACCCAGTGTGAGGAGACAGGGGCAGCAGCCTACACAGTTAGAGCAAGTTGCTTGGTTTCAGAAACTCTCATGTTATTTGATTAGCTTCAATTCCAATCATATTCTATTCTATTATCTCACATACAGCTGCTATATTTAGTAAACTCAGTTTTTTCCTGTAGCTCATTGCTGATGTTTTCCTATGCAGTCTCTCTACCTTTTCCCTTTCTCTCCCTGCACTTCCCAGGGCATGGAACTGTGGGTCTCTTTGCTCCCTTGTCACAGACACAAGGCCGAACCAGGCTGAACCTTGTGCTGTATATAGTGCATGCCTCTGGGGCCAGGACCACATCCATCAGCCCAGGAAACAGAGCTGCTCTCCTCACCAGTAATAGCAGCCGGAGGAATCACAGAATCACAGAATGTCCAGGGTTGGAAGGGACCTCAAGCTTCATGAATCTCCAAACCCCCTGCCACATGCAGGGCCACCAACCACCACATTTAATACCAGAGCAGGCTGCGCAGGGCCCCATCCAACCTGGCCTTGAACACCTCCAGGGACGGGGCATGCACAGCCTCTCTGGAAGAAAGTGGCTTATTATTCCACATTTATGCACACTTAGTAGATAAGATGAAATACTTAAGAAGTACCAAAATTGTAACTTTTGTATTACAGACTATTCTGTTTTGCCAAGAGGCCCTCAGCAAAAGAACAACTTAAGGGGCCTCTGACAGGAGGTCAAACTGTCCCTCTTTTGGTTTAGGAGGAATGCAAGTGATGCTCCCCTACCTTTTTCCTTCCAACTTATCTCTATCCCAGGACAGCAGGTGTCCAGGAATAATGGCCTAGTGCTGAATGAGCAAATGTGAGAAGTTAATTAGCAATATACGCTTAGCTAGCAACAGTTCTTTAGCCAGTATCTGTATGTTTAGTGGAATGTTGGGAAAATTGTGAGCCTGCAGTACTCAGCCAATGGGGAACCAGGGCAGGGAGAGAGAAGCGTTGGCTGATAGGGAATAAAAGACATGAAGGCTGTTCTGATTGTTCTGATGGCTGTAACACCTTTCCCACAATGTAATCTGCCAGTTAGTGGTGGTTTTTAGAGGTAGTAGCTCAGATACGATCAGTAAGGAACTTCATTTTCAGATTGGCAGACTTTTTAGGAGCTCCTATCTCCTTAGTTCACTTGACAACTGGTGTCTTTAAAGAACTGGAAACAGCACTTATGTACTATCCTGTTGCAGGGACTTCAGAAGCTTGCTTCCTGTGACAAACCTAACTGCAGCTTTTCCATGTTTGATTATGGATTGGGGATTATTGCCAAGCCTTGTAGGGGTATGAAAGAACAACAAAGGAATAAATGTTCCAAGAATTGTTATGGGCTGTGGATATATCCAATTCTGCTTACTAATTAAAAAAAAAAAAAAAAAAAAGAAAAAAAAATTCTATGCTTTGTGGAAAGCAGCATCTTCTCTTAAAATCTTATCTGTCTTAGGAAAAAACACCTTTGTTTCTCAGCTTTGGTGCTGTGCTGTTCTTGATCTGCTTTGTGAATTAACATGACAATTTTCTAATGACAGCTCTCTCCCACAATCACTGCAGTGAACATCTCCTGCATGCAACACAGGAATCTTCCTGAATGACATTTCTGTATTTGCAGATTTCCAGAAGAGTGCAATGGAACCAGCAACAGGTTTTGCAAGAATGAGACTTCTTTATTTCTTTGATCCGTATTCCAATACTATTATTGTGTAAATAAGTATGAAGCTTGAATTTTGCCAAGTTTTGAACTTTGAATGGACTTTGGCCTGTTTAAAGAAAGAATGTTCCTGAGCCTTTTCAGCATCGCCAATCATCTGGCTTGCCTGGGTGGCATTAGTTGAAGAGTCATTGTCTTGGTCTGAAGATAACGTGTATAATGTCCTTACTATATATGAGTAACAAAGCTTCTTTGTAATATATGACTAAAACATAAAATAAGAAAACGTAACACTAGTGGGAATTTGGACCTTGCTTTTGTGACATGAATGCATCAGTGTCTGATTCAAGGGAAGCGGCTGCAATTTTTAAGGAGTTCTCCAGGTGTTTGTCAGAGGTTTTTGGTGAAATATTGCTCTTCCTGTGATTCATCTTTGAAAACAGTGTTCACAAATGCACCTACTGACAAAAAGTAATGACAATAATAAAGCAATAATGACAATAATGATTGTGAAGCAAGGTATATTTTTCTGTTTTAAGACAGGTGTTATTAAGGAGACATAATTGAATATTTATTTTTGTTGAATGTCTAATTGTGAAGCTACATATTCAATTTGAAAATTTGCACCTAATGTAGTCATGTAGACATAAAATAAAAGCGAGACTCTTTTTAATTATTTTAAGTCTTGAAGGCTATTCTCAAATTTGTTTATCAGTAATGAATGCAAGGGTTTATATTTTTCACTGCTCACAGGACTCTGTTTAGCCAGCATATCAAAACACACGAAATCATTTTCCATAAGTTGAGCTTGCCATAATTTGAGTTTCATTACCTTTGTTTTTTCATTTTGTTATGTTTTGAAGCATAGCACAGATCAGATGATTTCATCTAGAAGATGCATGTTCAAATCATTTCAATGAGCTGTCAAATCCACCAATAAATCTAGCTATGAAAGCCATGTCTCATCTTCACCTTTAGGAACAGTATTTCTTTATGATTCCATAAATGACTTGATTTCACTTCGCAAATCATCACATCTTAGCATTTTATCCCAACTTAGCCACCTTCCTTCAGAAAAGTAAATTGCATTCTACATATATGTACACACGGCGAAGTCCAAACCGCTGCTTTCCGATGTGCAGAGAAGAGCCCGCAACTCGGAGAACAGCTGCTGGATTTAGTCGCCCTTTCTCGGCTATCGAGAACACGAGACTGCGGCTGGAGGCTGAAAGCGGCATCCAGGGAGAAGCGCGATTTCTCAGGCAGCAACGGCAAACGCTCCGGAACAGTTCACCACAAGCACCGTTTTCCACCCATGAGAGCGAAGCAGTGCCGTTCCGATGCCGAGATCGTCCAAATTCGGCCTGCTGCGGTTCCTCCGAGAGGGGTTTTTTTCTCCGTGGTCCAGAAAGGATCACTCCTGACTTTTTTGAATGTGCTCCCTGAGAGCACAACGTCTGTGGCCCCTCGAATCTCCAGTTGCCTCTTTAGAGAGGGTTTTCCCTTCTACCGTTGTTGTCACAGAATGCAGAAGTGGAGCCACGTAGAACCACACTACAACAACGAATTGTTGCTCGAAATTCTCTAGTGTATGTGTGTATGCTCCTCTCGTGTATGTGGCACATTCCCCAGGAAATACCAGCTTATTTAAAAAATTACGGCCTTTTTTCCCCAAATACCAGCTTCACATTAATAGACGACAGTTTCCAACAATGGTGAAACATTGGCACCGCTCTGCTGGGTTTAATGGTAGCACAGCTCTTCTGGGTTTCGTGGTGATATATTGGCACAGCTCTGCTAGGTTTAATGGTGGAATATTGCACAGTTCTGCTGGCTTTAATAATGCCCTGTCCTCTCCACCTTCCGCTTTGCAAGTCATGCTGTTTACAGCAGAAGTCTCCATCTGCAGCTCACTCTCTCACACCAAGTTCTGCTCGCAGGGAAACGGTGGGAGGGGGGGGGGGGTTGCTCTCACACCAGCACAGATTAATTCACTTTCTCTTCAGCCCTTTTTCCTTTGCCGTACCCTCAGTTACACTTCCACATACCCTCCATTCTACTTCTGTATAACATTAACAATTACCTTTCTTATACCATCAAAACAGTTTGTCCTTTCCTTTCAAAATCCAAAAATCAAACCATACAATTCTTCAAATTCCACATACACCCAGCACTTGGTCTCTCCTGATTAGGGTACTCAATTAGAAAACTGGTCCCATTATTCCATTTATGTTCCTAGTCTCTTTTTTAATATTCCCCCTGACCCTGCTGCAACATCCCTCCAATGTGCCAACATACATCTGAGAGGTGTTGTGTTTGTTTTTTTGTTTGTTTGTTTGGTTTTTTTTTTTTTTTTTTTTTTTTTTCTGGTGTGAGAGCAACCCCCTTACACTAACTAACTAACTAAATAAAAAAGAATTGAAAGCAAATGCTGTAGTTTGGAATAAGATTTGAGGGTAAGCAATAGAACAGTTGCATGTATTCAGTAAGTGGTGAACAATCCATACACTTAATTAACCACGTTAAGGAATTAGTAAGTGGAGTTTACCTTCTGGACTTGAAGGATGTCTTTTCTGCCTGGTTTGGCCAAAGGAAGCCTAAGGTTATTTGCCTATGAATAGAAAAGCCCCAGTATGGGGAGAAAAGACTCAGTTAATCTGAACAGTGTTACCCAGGATTATGAGAACAGCTCAATGACTTTTGAGAGCTGGTCAACTCATGAACCCGAGACTTGGGTTCCTCCATCCCTGAGTGGAACCTTACTGCAGTACGTGGACGTCACAGAAACCAAGAGGACTGTGTGCAATGGAGTGTGAGTTTGCTGAATTTCTTGTTTAAATGATTATCAAGTTTCTCAACAGAAAGACATATCTGGGATATGAGATTACAGCTGGACTTCAAACCTTAAGGACCATCAGGAAAGAAGCCACCTGCCAACCCCCTGAGTCACAAACTGCCAAAGAACTCCATCGGAATGACAGGATGGTGCCAACCATGGGTACACAGCTACGGACTGTTGGTAAAGCCCAAATATTAAAAAAATGGAGAGGCAAGGTGGGCATTCCCTAAACTGAAATAAAAACTCATGAAGGCCCTCTGCTTTGGGGCTGCCAGAAATGCTCACATACTGAAACAAGGAACGGCCTTGGGAGTCCTTGCCCAGAACCTTGGGCAGTGGCACGCTTCTCCGAACACCTTGATGAAGTGAATAAGGGGTGGCTGGGATGCTTGAAGGCAGTGGCTCCACTAGTACTCAAGTGTTGCTATTCCAAAGAATAGCAGTTTTGATATCTCATACAGTGTCTGTTGTATTGCAGGTAAAAATGGAGGCATTGGCTCTCACTCCAGAGGTTCTTGAAATCCCACGCTGCCCTGGTAGAGCAGGATGATGTAGAAAGAATTGCAACCCAGTATCTTCCTTAGCGAAACTTCTGATAACCAGTATTTTGTAACAGCTTTGGAACAACTGAAGCCGCATCTTCCAGCCTGTCAGACCTGAAGGACCAACCCTTAGAAGACGCAGAAGACACATGGCTTACAGACGATAGCAGTTTTGTCAGACAAGGAAACTGTAAGGCAGGATATGCAATAACTGCAACTGACAAGGTAACTGAAGCATGACCATTACTGAAGGAGAATATCTTTCAAAGGGCTGAAATAACTGCCTGGACAGGAGCCTTAATTATATGGACAGATGCTAATTATGTATTTCGGATGCTACACACTTGTAGTACCATCTG